ATTATTCTCTACAAGGAGAGTATCTACTTCAGGTAAATGTTCACCTCATATGCCTGTCTTTTGCTTGGCTGGAAGCCACAGGTGTGGGTTCAATTCCAGACCTGATGGGCAGCTAGGGGCCATAGTCTCAGTGGTTCCACCAGGTTGTATCAAACCAGCAAACCTGGTCCCCCATTCCCCCCCTTTTTTTTTTTTCTTCTCCAAATGATTATGAGTTTTGTTCCACATGGTTCTCCCTCTCTATCCAGAGTATCCTACATAGATCCCCTTCCAAGTGGTTGACATTGGTAGCTGGGCACCATCTAGTTCTTCTGGTCTCATAGTCGTATAGGTTGCAGATCAGTGTACCAGTCGCTAGGATGGATTGTGTCCATGAATTTTTGGTTTTCTTCATTCTTCTTTGCTCTGGACAAGGAGAGACCCATCATTGCATCTAGATGGCAGCTTGCAAGCTTTTAAGATCCCAGTTGCTACTTGCCAAAGCAGGAGGTGGAACAATGTTTTGTGCAGTATGTTATGCCAATTGAGCTCGATGTACACTGTGACTGTGGTCCCAAGCCCACAGGTTCAACTACTTGGTCCCTCTGGGTAGCTGGCTGTGACCAAGCAGTGACTACCACCTTGCCTCTTGTCAGCACTACTATACACCTGGGAATTCAGATCATACACATAAACTTATAGGACCGTTGTCTTGGGCACACTCCCCACTTCACAGACATACATACTACTTCAGCCTGTCTACCCATCTGTCCATCCATGTATCCACCCGTATACCCATTTTGCCTTCACTGACAATGCAGTACTGTATGTGTAAAAGGGTTCATCTTTGTTGTCTGTACCTCCGATGTTCCTCTCTATGTCTTTCTCTCCTTCAATGCCACCATATTGATCACTCACATTTGGCACACTGCCCTTCTCTTCAGCCAAATCAATACTTATCTCTATCTATCTAACAGTGTTCCCTCCTACCCCTGGTAACCAACAAAGAAAATGTCCTTCCATAGACAAACCTTTCCTTGACTTTTACAATAACAGACTAACACAATATTTGTCCTTTTGTGATTGACTTATTTCACTCAGCATAATGTCCTCAAAGTTCATCCATGTTATGCAGTGTTTTGTGGATTCTACATTACTCTTTAGCATTGTACAGTATTCCATTGTGTGTATGTACCATAGTTTGGTTATCCATAGTTTGGTTATCCATTCCTCAGTTGATGGACACCTAGGTTGCTTCCATCTTTTGGCTATTGTAAACAGTGCTGCGATGAACATGGGTGAGCACATGACTGTTCTTGTCATGGATCTCACTTCTTTAGGATATATAACTAGTAATGGACTAGCTGGGTCAAATGGTATTTCTAGTTCCAACTTTTGAAGGAATCGCCACATTGCTTTCCACAATGGTTGTACCATTTTACGTCCCACCAGCAGTGTATCAGAGTCCCAATCTCTCCACATCCTCGCAAGCATTTGTTATTTTCTGTCTTGTTGAAGTTTGCTACTAATGCTGAGGCAAGATGGTATCTCACTGTTGTTTTGATTTGTATCTCTCTAATAGCTAATAATTGTGAGCATTTCTTCATATGTTTGTTGGCCGCTTGAATATCGTCCTTGGTAAAATGTCTATTCATGTCTTCTGCCCATTTTTTAATTGGATTATTTGTCTTTTTGTTATTGAGGTGTTGGAGTTTTC